CACCTTGTTCATAGTAATACATCGATACACTTAAAAATGTGTTTTTTTGTTCAGTATCAAATAACCCGAATCCATTTCGCTAGAGCAACTTACAGATTTAGAACACGGTCTGAGGGTACCTTTCATCATTGATTGTTAAAAATAATAACATGCAAATACGTTAACACGTTTGCCAATACCACAATATGAACATTTTTTATGAGAAATTCTTCGGACTGTAATTATAAACTAGGTTTCCCCGGTGAAAACAGTTTATTATTAATTTCGTACGAACTTCTCTGTGGCTTTACTTAACTTGTATTTCGTTATTACCTTGAATTCATATCAAGTATGTATGCCAAGAGAAGCACTGAAACAATTTAGTACAATATTTATGACTTGTAAATAAAGAATCCTTTTTAATATCTTCAGTATACTCGCATTCCAACATTTATGAAAACATTCGTTTATATAAATAACTTTAGGGACTATACATTTATAAATTGTGTACAAAGTAAATAATGACTTGGATCTAATCTTTAAGGTCATGCTATATATTCATCGATCTCTCGCATATAACCTTTTCATATTATGAAATAAAACAAACTTAACCAATAAAATGAAGCATAAATGTGCCACTAATGTTATATATCCAAACGATTAAATATTTTTTTATACTTTGCATTTATACAGCCCAACATTTTCAGAAATGTACATAAGTTAACTTGGTATTGTTTACTTAAATCTTCCCATTGATGTTTAGGACTGCAATTGATCACTCTGTTATTGGCATATGTGCGTATTACCTCGATATTGCCTTAATTCACAAGCATTCTAAACAAAGATGGATGGTGGCTAGCAGTGGAATTCAGAACGCGCGTTTCAACCTATTTGCTAGCCACTATCCATCTTTGCTTATAAAGCTTGTGACTTGAGGTAATATCGAGGCAGTTCGCACACCATGCACATATGCCAATAAGAGACGGATCAATTGCAGTCATAAATAACAATGGAAAGATAAAAGTAAACAACATCAAGTGATTTTAAAACTTCATCCCATTGCACAAGTAGGTGGCTATGAGGATTCAGTAGATAAGTGGATAACGCGATGGCGTTTGAATCGGACTGTACTGGGTATATGTCCTGGAGTGAACATGAACTGTGAGATACATGTGTATGCAGCTGGTGAGTCACGAATAGGATGAAATGCGCATCCTGACTTCCAATGCTAGGCACTATCCATCTTTGCTTGGAATACTTATGAATGTACTTAAGTTTTAAGTAGTTACTTTTCATCTTATCTTTTTGGATTTCGGTTTTACTCACTCATTTTGTTTTTTACCTCTTCTTCTCACTTTATTTATTCGTGAATATTTATGAAACAATGTTACCCGTATTGTTTTTTTTGACGATCATTTATTTAAAAGAAAGACGTGCTTACGTAAACAAAATCTAAATAAATTGAAATCAATATGAAAGTGTAAATTTGACATGAAAAACAAATGAAAACTCCAAAAGTAAATTTAATTTAATCTATTCAACTATGAAAATAATTTTTCTTCTTTGTAAACAACTTCCTTTTCTATACTTGTCATTTCTTTATTTAATTCAAGCGTAAAAATTGTTTCTAATCTTAGATCACTGTTCATAAACTCCATCTGGAGTCCCTCCGGGGTCTACTGTCGGTCCCAAGCCAGGATAAAGGAGGAGGGCTGGACATGGGGTTAGCGACCCCATCCTGTAGAAAACTAACTCGCTAAAACAACGCTAACCAGAAAAATTATTCAAACCTTATTCACTGTTCATAATATCATTTGTAATTAAATTCGTAAACTTCTAGTACGATTTTCCTTGGCTTCAAATAATAATAAAGTTAGATTAATAAGGAATAATGTGTCGCAACAACTTGTAAAACTGTTATTGATATTTTAGTATGTATGGTGATGAAATATCGTACTTAACGTTTTTTAAGAATTACAAAGTGTCACTTATTTACGGGAAATCTTAAATTATGTATAACTATATGATTCAAAGTACCTGAAACTATTTTAGATATAATTTATAATGTGGAACAATTAATAATACATTTTAATTACACCATTGTATAGCAGTCATATTGTCTTTTCCTACTTCTTCGAATGTATGTCTATGACTAAATGAAGGTAATTTGTGTAGTATTCTGTTGTAGTAATTTGTTCTCAATGAATTAGACTAAGTATTTCGCAAACTGGGTTTTTCAGACTATAATCTTGTAAAATATCTGACATTTTAAAATGAAACCATTTTAACAAATGGTTCTAGTGAAATTGTGTTGTTTATTTTGCATATACACACTAATTTATGGTGTTAATTTGTTTAACATATATGTTTTTGATTAATATCATGAAATGATTGATGTTAGACCGCCATTGAAAACCTGGTATTACTAGACAGCCGTTTCGCCTTTGGTTCGAGTTCCGCGGGCGAGACCGTGGATGCGCATTGTTGTGGAGTCCCACAATAGGGCGAAACGGCCGTCCAGTGCTTCCAAGTTTTCAATGTTGGTCTAACATCAATCACTTCATGATCTCAATAAAAAAATTAATGATCTCCAGAACCCTATACTCATAAGATATATGTGACTGAATAAAGTCAAAAATAAAGTTTTCTAGATTTCTATAATCTGATTTCAAATGGACTAAAATAACTACTTTTCAAATGATTAGCTTCACATTTTTTTGTGTGTTGCTCAGTTTCATTCACTATTTTTTTTTAAAAAATCATTCATTTACAGTGAAATAATAATCAGGTCAACAAACTAGTCTAACATACTACTTATAATCACAATTCTATTGCTACTTAAAAAATACAATTTTTTGTTGGCAACGAATTAACCGAAGTATAAATCATTTCTAAATAAAAACAATAGCTAATTACTAAGAAAAACAATAAAAAAAATTTTTTTTCGGAATTAAAGCATACTTAACTTTTATATGTATCAGGTTATTTAAATTCAGTAAGAAAAATTCTATAATTAATGATTGATTAAATGAAATAGTCAATAAGGGTACATTTTCTAAATGTATTACACACTTTTGGCGAGAATTTCAACAGGGGCTTTGAGGTGTATTGCTAGTTTTCACTGGAAATGTGTAACGGTATGTAAATGATTTACCTTTGTCTCTTACATAATACATGGCCTGTTATTTTATAACATTTTTCACCATTTAGTTCATATGTATCTCTCGTAAAACAAATTTTGTTAACAGGAGTTGGAAAAATAATTTTCGAAAAACAAAACCATAATAGACCTAGGTAATTTATCCTTAAATTAAATCAATTTCATGGTTATTATATGAAACGAGTCATCAGACAATTCAAGTAATTAGTAAAATATTGATAAATAGCATAATAGAAATAATGAAATACATCGTAGATGGCATACATCAATTCATGGATTATGGAATCTATACAAAAAAAAGCTTATGAACTATGCAATCCTCTTTTATGAAAGTAAGTTTTATAATAACTTGAGAATGAACTACAAAATCGTTGATGACATTTAAGAATAAAATTTTCAAAGTGAAAAATGCATTTCACATTAAATGATTAAGATATAACATTGTAAGTGATGAATGCATTTTATATAAGCTTGATAGATTAGGAAATCACTGTTTGAATTAAATGACATTTGATAACTTATTTTCAAAAGAGTAAAGAAATAAATATCAGTAAAATAAAGAGTTGTTAAGGTGTGATCAGATTTGACAATAATTTTATCATAGGTGAACATCAGCTAGAGAAAAGATGAAAATGAAGGAGGAATAATAAATGTTTTGTCATGAATTGGGACGCTTAAGCTGTTCAAATCTGGTACAGATAAACGAACATAAGACCTATAAATTTAACAGTAAACATGTTAAACTTGAAACATTGTAGTGAAATAAGTTTGCTTATAATAGTAAATTGAATAGAACTCCAACATTTCTAAACAATATAAAGTATTCTTTACCCCATTGCATTTAACTCCAGTGGTCTTTAATACTAATTACTCGGTCTTAAGGTTCTATGTTAAATGTTATTTAGATCTATGAATGAATAGTTAAATTTTGAAAAATTGTGTGAATAACTATTCAACTAATATTATCAAAAAGGTCAGGCGCAGGGCATTACGCAATGATGGTAAATCAGTTGATGAGGTTGTGAATCTTCATCGACTGAGATGGTTGGGTCACGTGTTACGTATGCCTGAACACCGATTATCACGACGCGCAATGCGGTTGGAAGAAAGTTAGAGACGACCAAACCGAAACGTGACATTAGTGCTTTAAATCACTAACTTCTAGTCTGAGTCATGTTGGTAGATGCAGAATACTTGGTTAGGGTCCACGTGACTCTGAGTGACATAGCTCAGAATCAATCACAATGGTGTAGATGTATACACTGTCTGTCTTCCTTCAAACTATCAGATTAAAATCGCTTCATATCTTTCTTTCTACCAACAAAATCTTCCTATACTTCCTGTACTATATGGTGATATGCAATATTTCTTTTATATATTACCACTATTGAATTAAATTCTTCCATGAATTCAGTGTTCATCTTGTTATGCTAATGAGGTATGGCAACATGGAGTGATGCATATACGAATATGCAAGTATGAATAACTATTCAACTAATATTATCAAAAACGGTTTTGTGGAGATTTTTAGTAATTTTATAGTTGAATTCTTGAGTCAATTGAAGCTAGACAACCATGGAAAACCTGTAAGCACTGGACGGCCTTTTCGTCTTATTCAACTAATATTTATAAGAGATTAATTGAATATTGTCATTAGGTAATGAATTTATTCATTCGTACTAGATAATGATTTTTGTAATAAAAAGGCATCCAGACAAACTGTTAATTACATTTGTTTACATATATATTTATATGTCAACTTAATTCAAAATATTATCTCACTTAGTAAACATAGAAATTCATCTTGGACAATATTATACAAAATAATGCATAAAACATTACAATACATAATTGAACAAACCTTTATTGTTATTATTGAAATTACTTTAGTAATATACATTTATTGATGAAATTAATTCCAATTATTATTTAATTATCATTTATCATGAATGAATATGTACAAATTATCAATGAATAGACAAGGTATATAGTTACTAGTGAATTGTCATTTGAAAAAAACAAACAGACAAACAAACTCAATAGAACATGATTCACTATCCAAAAGTACTTTAACAAAGTATGAATTTAAGTATCCTGTATAAATAATTTAATTATTATGTAATCAATGTTAATATTCGGATATATAATAAATTGATTGATTGATTTCATGCAATATATGAATAAAATTTGGGAACAATTAAATAGTGTAAAAGTATAAGTACGTTCATTGTAATTGTTAGCTAATTACAATTATTCTGCCGAATATGACAGCTTTATTGACAATAGTATTATCATTATTATTAGTAGTAGTATTAGTAGTAATGTTATTTGTATGAGATATGAAATTTAGAATATGATATTAGAGTAAGACAAACACATCTACTTTAGGCCTCTTTTTTGTTGTTTTTGATGTAACCTGGTTCTCCCTTTCCATTCAATTTCCAACCTTCAATTGAGGCATTTTCTTTTTTTTTTAATGGGAAACGATGTATAAACCAATCTCTCGTCAGTATTGTTATATTATACATGTCTGTGTCACTTACATATAAATTGAAAGAAGTATAATAATGTTTATGTATATGTATATAGAAAACTGTTGTTTGGATAATGAGAAAATATATATACATCTATAGCAAGATTATAGACAATAATTAGTGAATTATTCATTACTTTTCATTACGGTATTGTCTAACTGAATTCCCTGTAATTAATTTCCAAAAAGATACTATTACATTAGATGTGAACAATATGTTTATTACATAATCACTCAAAAGAAGGCTTTTTTTCATTGATTTAACAGTATTTACTTAGAATCCATTTTGTATACTTTTTAAGCTTATAATATATGATTTTGTTATAGTAGTTATCGAATTGATTACTTTTAATTACTATATAAGTAATCAGTGAAATAAATGATTAATTCTTTGCCCATAAATAAATAAAATATTGTTTCCATTAACTGGAACGTTTGAAAAAGTGAGGTTATTTCAAGTATGGAATAAGTAACAAAAATCAATGTACATAAGATCAAATGATTCTAACAAGATAACTTCTTGAAACTAAAATTTATTTGTATTTTATAAGCCCCAGAATATAGATAATACTCTATAAAAAAACATTATTTAATTACTAAACATTCATAAACAGGAGCTGTGATACATGGTTTAAAATCCGTGCCAGGAATATTTTGAATGTTGTATTTCCATATTAGAATATCCAGTTAGTAAGGAACTAATCTCTCCTCTTTTTCATATTGATCACTTGTTTTCATATTCATCCCAAGACTAAACAATAATTCCTATGATTAATGACCAGTTTTATTTCCACTTTGCTTACCTATCCTTGTTTTATAGGATCAATATATCACTACTCATTTGATATTTTAATCCGAAACCTGAAATCTGGAATATTGGATTTCAGGCAACTGACTTTTGGACATATTAAAACACTGAACACAACATAGAAATATGAATTCTATAAGGGCTTCTTCTGGACTGGTTTTTGCATGAAGTGTATCAGGTAAAGACATACATATTAAAATTCTTTATTTAATCTAGTTCTACTCATTATTGAGTTTTAACTGTTTATTTGTAGCAATTTGAATTATTGTCAGGTATTAATAAGTGTATCATTTTCAAACAACACAATCATGTAAGCTTTTCTTAGACTTCGAATAAATAAACAATTAACCCTGGTATTCATCAACTGATCCAACGAATCAATGATGGATAAAGAAAAAAGTGTTTTCATATTGTTTACGAAATGCATAACATTTTTACACCTTTAATCTGATTGAAAATATAGAAGTTAATAAGTGAAGCTACAAGTAAATAACTTGAGACAAAAAACAAATCTATTTTCGATAGAGTGTAATGGAATATCAGTGTAGTATATTATATAAAATGTGTTCTTGAAGAAAAGTGTTCAAACGAAAAATTCTTATACCACTTATCATTACGTATCAATAGCAAGTGGATTATTTTAATTAAAACCAAATGTGCGTTTATATGTTAATCGTATTGAATGCCTAAATCTACTTAAGAGATACACTTTTATTCTTCTTGTAAAACTAATTCAAAACATGCCTTAGCAACAATTTTTTTAAAATAGTATTTTGATGACTTAAATTGGTTCATTTCAACTTTTAATTCCTGATAGTTAATACAGTTAAGGTTTAGTGATTATGATCAAGGTGTCATTTCTTTTACAATTCATTTGTACAAATCAGTGACTTAAAAATGTTGTATTCGAAATCAGTGTACAAATAAAATAAGTAAAAACAAAAAAGTTGTTGGTTCTTGTTTATCTTTACACCATCCAAACACAAATAATAATAAACGAACATTTTGAATAAATGTTACATTGCATCATTATCTTGATTAAATGTTTTCAATACAATAGTCTTCTAATGTTTTAAAATCAGAATAAATATGGTTAATATGGGGTTAGAGAGATAATAAAGTACTTACAAATCAGAAATCACGTAATATGTGAAATAATATGAATGAGGTACGAATTATTAAATAAGGCTGGGTGCTGAATAAGTTTTTTAAAATGTTTGCAAGTGTTGTAATAATGTTAATAATAATAGTGATGACATTAATAATTATAATCTATGTAAATGAGATACGTTTAAGCTATGAAAATTCAACAGGAAGGTTCTATGAATATTGATGAATTACGTCACTATATCATCAAAATGATTATTAACTGATTGAACATATTTCTTCTAAACGCAAAGCTCAGACGTTTTGAATAGCTATTGCCATCGGATCTTCCAAATTCATTTAACGTATAAACTTATTCAAGACAACATTTCACATCAGTCATTCCAACATTAACAATTTTATTTTATTTTGAATTAAGAACAATCTCAAATCCATATGCTATAGTTTTAAACAATGTTTTTCGCCTTTAGCACGGATTCAGAAAGCTTGTTTAGCTTTTGCCAACTTACGTCACCTGTAACCAAGGAGAGATATCCATCTATCAATTAAGGGAAGAGTATAATGCTACTACTTTGCGACTGAGAAACGTGGCTATTGACAATAGAAGATACTCGTAAGCTATGTCATACAAATATTGCTCGCATCTACTGGGACCACCGAGTAAGTAATAGTGAGGTCAGGTGCAGGGTATTACGAAATGATGATAAATCACTTGAAGAGGTTGTGAGTCTTCATCGACTGAGATGGTTGGGTCACGTGTCACCTATGCCTGAATACCGATTAGCACGACGCGCAATGATGACTAGTGTTGATGGCAGTTGGAAGAAATTTAGGGACGACCAAACCGAAACATGGCATTAGTGCTTGAAGTCACTAAATTCTAGTCTGAGCCATGCTGGTAGATGCAGACTACTTGGTTGGGGTCGGTATGAGTCTGAGTGACATGGCTCAGAATCAATCATAATGGTGTAGATGTATATACCCTTTGTCTTCCTTCAAACTATCAGATTAAAATCGCTTCATATCTTTCTTTCTACCAACTAAATCTTCCTATACTTCCTGTACTATATGGTGATATGCAATCTTTCTTTTATATATTACCACTATTGAATTAACTTCTTCTATAAATTCAGTGTTCATCTTGTTATGCTAATGAAGTATGGCAACTTGGAGCGATGCATATATATTCTTGATCCTACGTTGTAGCTGACTGACTGACTGACTGACGGATATTTTGCTTTAAACATAGCCACATTTTTGGATTATTAATTTCGATATATGATTATAAAATCTAAGAAGAATTTATTGAGAAAGAATGTTTTTTTCCATTCAAATACCTATGAATTATTGAGCAACAAAAATAATCTTTTCAGCTTCTTCAAATCTAAATACACAATCAATTAAAATCTAAACTATTCTCTATCAATATGCTTAGAAATGATAATAATATATATTCAAACAGTCTTTTTCATTATACATATTAGTACAAATCTTTTTCACTGGTCGAAATCATGAGTCAATTAAAGCTAGACAACCATGGAAAACCTGGAAGCACTGGACGGCTGTTTCGTTCTAGCATGGGACTCCTCCTCCATGATTCCGCCCCTCGCGAGCTTCGAACACAGGACCTATTAGTCTCGCGCCAGGCACTTAACCAACTAGACCAGTGAACCGGCATCTAATGGTGTTAATGTCTAACTTCAAACAATCCACGTAGTTGCGCCACCGTACACCATTGTCTTCAGTGAGCTCCTATCTCACAACAGAACTGGTTGAACTCCACTGGTAACGACTTCTCCTTAGAACTCCAGGGTATCTCCTGCCCACTAGTGACTGACTTCAGGCGATACTCCTGAAGACAATGGTATACAGTGGTGCAAATTCGTGGATTGGTTGAAGTTAGACATTAACAGCGTTTGATGCCGGCTCAGTTGTCTAGTTGGTTAAGCACCTGGTGTGAGACCGATCGGTCCTTGGTTCGAATCTCACAGGAGGCGGGATCGTGGATGCGCACTGCTGAGGATTCCCATACTAAGACGAAACGGCCGTCCAGTGCCGTGTTTCATGGTTGTCTAGCTTCAACTGACTCATGATTTCAACTTGTGAAATTTCTAAAAATCTCTACAAAACCCATTCTGATAACAAGCCCTTTTGTCTTCTTAAGAACAAAATTTGTCCTAATCAGTAAGCACGTTTTAAATTGGTGCCAATTATCAGAAGAGAAAAACAGCTTTTTTTTCAAAAGAAAAACTGGTCGTTTTTTAATTTTCTTTTTTGAGATGGAAATTATTTATAACACAGGTGAATAAACATTATTTGTGTAGATTTAATTAATTGAAATGGAAAGTTTCTTCTGTTAAATTTTTTTTTCACAAAATAAACTTTATGGGAATAAAAGAAAGTTCAAGATAAAATGTTATTTGATAGAAGAGAAGTATAAAACTATGAAAATTATGATTTTAACATGTTCATAATGTAAAAGTAAATTACTCATATAGTTAAATTAGTATTATTATTATACATTTTGTTTGTAATTTATGATGACAGTAGTAGTAGTGTTCGTAGTAGAAGTCGTAGTTTTAGTCGTCGTCGTCATAGTACCAGTAGTATAACTATACACTGGTATACACATTTAGGAATTATTTGATATAAATGACGAATACGTTTTGTTCAGTCATTTATTTCGATATTTCATGAAGTGCGCTTCAGAATATTTAGTAACTAAACGATGTGGATAGATCTGGTCACTTGTTAAAATTATATGAAGTTTTTAATATATCAATCTAGTTGATAGTTCATTAACGAATACTTTAAAGAATTAGTGTCAGAAGTGGGTTTTATGGAGATTGTTGTAATTTCAATAGTTGAGATCATG